TATGTGTTGACTGCCTTTATACTAATGTTCAAAAAGATAGTGTAACTGAAATAAGGGGGAAAAAAAACCCCTCAGTGTTTTCATTTGTATATAGGTTTCCCCCTGCCCCCAAAGTGCTTCAGATATACATTTCTTCATTCATTTTCAAAGCATCTCTGTGTGAGAGCATAGCGTTAACTTTGTTACTTTGTTGTTGTTGTTGGGTGCCATCCAGTCAGTTCCAACTCATAGCGACTCTGTGTACAATAGAAGGAAACACTGCCCATTTCTGCACCAGCCTCAGAATCCTTGCTATACCTGAGCCCATTGTTGCAACCACTGTGTCAATCCATCTCGTTGAAGGTCTTCCCCTTTTTCACTGACTCTCCACCTTACAAACATGACATCCTTCTCCAGGGCCTGGTCCCTTCTGACAACATGACCAAAGTATCTGAGACGAAGTCTGGCCATTCTTGCCTCCAAGGGGCATTAGATTGTACTTCCTCCAAGACAGATTTATTCATTCTTCTTGCAGTCCAACATATATTCAATACTCTTTGCCAACACAATTCAAATGCATCAGTTCTTCTTTGATCTTGTTTATTCGTTGTCCAGCTTTTACATGCATATGAGGCGAATGAATATGTCATGCCTTGGGTCAAGTGCACCATAAGTCTTTAATATGACATCTTTGTGCTTTAACACATTAAAGAGGCCTTGTGCAGATTTGCCCAGTGCAATATGTGCAGATTTGCCCAGTGCAATACATCACTTGATTTCTTGACTGCTACTTCCATGGCTGTTGATTATGGATCCAATGAAATCCTTGAGAACTATCTCTTCTCCATTTATCATGATGTTACGTATTAGCTTTGTTACTTTTATGTTTGTGAAACTGAGGCCAAGGCTTGGGAGTACTATGTGACTTTGATCTTGTGTCAGGATATTAATAATATCAGAACCAGAGCCCCTATTTCCAAGTTTACTTCCCAACATAAATGTGGTAAGAGAAGAGAAAGAATACATAAAAATATAGCTGAGCCTTTTAAACTGTATTATGATAGAAATGACCTGGGATCAGTCAGCGTTTTCAGAATAATCTCTTATCTTGCTATGAACATAGCTGGAGCAGTGTACAGAAGGAAACTAATCTCAGGAACTAAAGAAAGTTGAAATCACTTTTTTTCCCCTTAAACTAAACATGGATTTGCTTCTTGCTAAATGCCAGTAGCATGCTGGCATTTGCCATTTTTTTAAAAAGGAAGAAAGCTGCACATATTTGATATACGGAACTTAAATGCAGAGACCAGAGTTTATTAGTGGTTGCCAGGGGGAGGTGTGAGGAGAGGGCTGCAGCACTGCTTATGGGCAGGGGGCTTCTATGAAGGATGACAGAAAAGTCTGGAAACAGATCATGGCGATAGCTGCACCACATGAACAACATAATTAATGTCGCTGAATCGTACACATAAAAACAGTCGAAATGGCAAAGACTACGTTATGTATTTCACAATAAAAAAAAAAAAATAAGTGAGATGCCTACATAGGTTATGGATATTTGCCAGTTGCAAAACTTATACAAATTACCAAATACTTTCCGTAATATTCCACTAAGTTGGGGAAGAAGCTGTTTTTTAAAAAACGATTTTTGAAGATTTTTAGGGTAAGGGGGAGAAAGGGGGGTTGCAGAGTGAGAGTAGGCGCTGTTTGCAGCCTGAATTGATGTCCTCAGCAAGCTCCTTCCACTGGTTCAGGTCCACACGCACGATCAGTGTATGCTAGTCCCACTGTGTGGTGTTCCTCAGCATATTCCACAGGAAGGGAGCAAAACATTTTCAACCACTCCCCTGTAATTCAGAAAGGAAAGTCCTGGTTCACATTTTAATGACTGCACCTGGCTCTGATCTTCTGAGCCATTCTTGAGCACCTTTTTCGGATATTGGGAAATATTACTATTGATATCAAGTCTCATGATAAGGGGTATGTACTCACCTGCTAGACTGGATTCATGGGGTTGATTTGCTACTGTAACTTAGAATTAGAAACTGGATTATATACAGCAATCCTCCTGCAGCCCCCAAAAGCCACCATTGAGACACAAAACCCCTCAACACCTACATGTTTGAGAGAACTAAAAGTTTTGATTAGAATAGCATTACTGCATTGTATAGATTTGTATTTTTCACATATATCCTTGAGCAAATAGTTAAAGGGTATGTATGTTTATAACACTCTCATCTATAGAGTATGTCTTCTCCACAGTGCTAGTAACACACTTTCTATCCTACCAGCCCCCATTTTCAAACTCCTTCTCATTTATAGCTTATTGTATTACAGCTTTATTCTTCACGCCATCACATATTATCAACCCTTGAGTTTATCTTCTGGTAAGTTTGCTTGAATATATATATGATGGATTGCCCGAAGAATGAACACATCTGTCTTAGAAGAAGTACAGGCAGAATGGTCCTGAGAATGAGGATGGTGAACCTTCATCTCACATACTCTGGACACATTACCAGGAAGGACCAGTCGCTGGAGACGGGCATCATGCTTGGTAAGGTAGAGGGTCAGCAAAGATGAGGAAGACTTTCAATGAGATGGACTGACACAGCGGCTGCAACAATGGGCTCAAGCACAGACTGAGAGGATGGCATAGCACCAGGCCGTGTTTTGTTCCCCTGTCACTATGAGTTGGAAAGAACTCAATGGTGCCTAACAAGCTTGTTCAGTAACCTGTAACATATTCTTTAGTTACCCACCCAGATTATTTAACTTCTTGGCTTTCCCTCAATGAAGAAATCAAAATGACCTTTAACCTTATTAACTTCAAGGTCAAGTTTTTTTAAATGAAGTGTAAATAAAAATTTTTTAAAGTTAAATAACTTTCATGAAGTTATGTTTAACTTCAAGGTCAAGTTTTTTTTTTAAATGAAGAAATGTACAGGTAAAAAAAAAAAGCCCAAAACAACTATTTTATAAATATGTGACTGTATTTTTCTTCATGTCCAGAAACTCTGATCAAATGGAATTCAGATCTATATTCTTCCAAAACCCACACAATCCAAAGCTCTAACACCAAGTTTTCATTTGTACCAAAATGGGCAAGATCACGGGGCATGGGCTCACTTTGTACCAACAGAGGACGCCCAATACAGTCACGAGGCACCAACGACACAGAAGCACATGCACAGACTCAAAAAGCGAGAGTTCAAAGTCTTCAGTAACTTTTCTCCCTTTAACATTTGGCAAAATTCGGTTTAGCTATTTTAATACCTCAAAAAGAAAGAAAATAAATAAGAGATGCTGCCTTAAAAAGTCAGATTATCCATAACTAATCTTCAGAAACAGAAGGAGAAGGGATAAAATGAAGAGAGGGGAAAGGGGATTTCCTATATTCTCGGGTCATCCTCCCTTTCTGAGGGTTCATGTCTATAGAAATGCTGGGTCATCCTTTCTGAGGGTTTGTGTCTATAGAAATGCCAGCTGTACCTGAAAATTTCAGAGATTTGAGGTGGTTGCTGACATGGTCCCACAACACGACTAAAAAGTTTCTATTGCAATCACATAACTAGCTTGATTTCTGCTTTTTAGTTAAAAACCGTAAGCCAAAGTTGGTTACTTAAAGGTCATCTAAAGAGTTTAAAATAAAGAAAAAGATATATTCTAGCTTCCCAATTTAAAAAATGAAATAAACCCAGCTTACTTAGACAAATGGCAATAAACATATTTTAAAGCCAAGCAATCTTCTGCTCTGTACATACTGGAAAACAAGGGAAGGGCTTCTCTATGGCTGCTGAACACCTCACTCATCGAACATACCAGCAACTGCTTCCATGACTGTAGGAAATTTTCCCATGATGATTACAAATAAAAGATGAGGGTATAAGTTAGGTCTGAGCAGGCAGAAAAGATCTGCATGGACAACACGCTTACCACAAGCATATGAACAACAAAACACAGCAGAATGTTTACATCAGACCCACTGTCCAGAAGATGCACAACAAACTAGTCGCTTTCCCTGGGTCCACATCACACACTGCAACACTAGTCCAGAGGGTGTGCCCCTTACAAGTACGCCTATAACTGCACAAAGAACATGGACATGGATCATCAGTCTGTCCAAAATGGTGAAATATATTTTTCCTAGGAAATTCATTTTGATAGTATTTTCCAAGTCTTGCGACTAAAGATACTTGGCATATTTTTGTCTTTTAACATCAGAGTATACCAACAGTTTTGTTTTCTTTTAACTATTTCCAAGTATTAGGAACAAGGGGGCTGAAACAGCAAGTATTCACAATTAATTGTTATTATTTTTCAGTGAGTTACAATAAACTGTTTTGCATGCTTGAATAGTTAACTATAAAGAAAAAATAAAGAATACTTACAAGTGTATCTCAACAATTTGGTAGGGTTTTTTTTTTTTTTCTTTTTGTTTTAAAAACAACCTCTAATATTCATCTCTGACAACACAGTATGTATATATATAAAGTTCATTTCCATGCTTATTACATAAAAATAACTATCGGGAATATCAATCTATCTGTGCCAGCTGATGTATATCCAATTAATGCACTGCAGAGGGGAAAGTACAATTACAAAAAATTTAAAACCTAATGCAATCATTAAAGCTCACGGTTCTTTTTTTTTTTTTTTGCATGTTTGAAATTTTTTGGTGGTTTATCTGTGTTCTGTTGTGAGCTGATATCTACATTAATGGCCTCCCAGTAGATTGGAAAGGAAGCCTGAAGACTTCTTATTTTGCTGGGCTTCAGCTTCCTGGTCTTGTGTAAGTCCCAATTCACTCTCAATCTGATCGAGCTCTGCCTGGTCCAGTAGTTCAAAGTCATCCCCTTCTTCAGTGTCTGTGTCCTCTCCTGGGCTGGGTGCAGCCTGAGAAAGTGCTTGTTGCGTGGCCGCTAACTGGTCTTTGACGGCAGCAGTCACCGCGGCTGTGATGACATCCCCAGCCAGGTTGCTCATCAAGTGAAAGGCTTGGTCACTGTTCAGAGGAAGGGTGAGACCAGCTGTCGACTGCCTCTCTTTGCTGGGTGTGTGGTCACTGCCCAACTGTTCCTTTTTTCTCTTGAGCTCACCAGGCAAGCCAAGGCTTAATTCGTCTTCATCATTTGTTCCCATGCCGTTTTCCAGAGATGGAAATTCTGAAAGGTCTCGAGAGAAAACTTCCTGCTCACTAGGTCGGTCAAGATCTGTGAAATGCATAAAAGAAGTTATTAGGTAAGCATCATGAGAAAGATGAAGGTGAAGAGCTGTGTCTAAAGAGATCTGATTATAATCTGAAACCTCTGGTCAGCCTTGACATTCCTCTAGCCTCTTCAGTCAATGTGAATCAGCTTACTACCCCTGAGTGGTTAACCCTAAGTATGGTTAAGTCCACAAATACAACCACTCTTCACTTAATGACTATCTTGCTATCCAACATTTTGCATTTACATCCATAGTAAAAAAAAATCTACTATCAACTATTTTGAGCATCAGTGACATATGTCTGGCAGTAACAAACACCGAGGTGAGAGTAACATTGGGTGTGAAGGTTAAGGTTCTGTGTCAACTTGGCTGGGCCATGATTCTCAATGGTTTGGCAGTTATGTAATGATGTGATCTGGCAGTTATGTAAAGATGAATCTGACAGTTATGAAATGATGTGGTCATCCTCCATTTTTACATAGCGACCTGGTCTCTGGAACCTGACCGTGTCAGTTAAGTGAGGCATCTGTGTATTATACGTGGGCCCAACATTTTCAGATTTTCTGTTAAGCATGAAACTGTAGATATAATGACATAATATTCAACCTTGCTAACATTAGCTTGGTGCTTTGACTAAGGTTTAAATGTTCATCATAACAGTAACTTCACCTGGTTCTTGGAGTGGGAATAGTTTAACTTAAGCCAATATGGAAATGTGTGATCACAATAAAAGTTTATTCATGTAGAATCTGCTCACACGGTCAGTGTATGGTCAGATGAGTTGAAATAATCCAATGAGACCAGCAAAAGTGAAAGGAAGGGCACAAGCATTATCCCTCAATTTTGGTAATGGATGCAGTTGTGCCGCCATTTGCATTATTACAGAATAATGCTGTGCTTTCCTATTTTAATCTGGATGTAACCTGATTATTATACAAGTTTTTTTTAAAAAACTTTGAAGCAAAATATGAGAAACTTTGTAGTTAGCTTTGGACTTGGGCAATTTTCCTCTATTCTTCAGCTTGTCTACTCCTTTTTTAAATACATTTTATTTTGTTGGAAAATAGATGAGAAAACTTATTAACTGCATTCACCTCTTTGGTCCCTTATAAGGAGGACTAGGCGTGAAAGGTGGAGTCCCCGGGTGGCACACACTGTTACACACTCAGCTACAAACTGAAAGGTTGGCAGTTTGAATCCACCCAGAAGTGCCTTGGAAGAAAGGTCTGGCAATCTATTTATGAAAAAGTAGCCACTGAAAATCCAGTGGAGCAGTTTTACTCTGATCCACCTGAGCTCACCATGAGCTGGAATTGACTCAGTGGCAACTGGCTTAGGCCTGAATGCATGGGGTCGGCTTCTCTTGTCTCCTCCCCCAACTATCGAAATGGAAGTGCCACCAGGTATTTCAGGAAATCAATCATTTTCATTGTCAATGTTTTATTTGCTTTCATAATAAAGGCAGATTTGGACACCGAGTGACTTTAAGATTTTTCTCATGGTTTTTTAAAGAACAGCTTTATAAAGTTATAATTCACACACACAAAATTTAGCTTTTTGAAGTATCCAGTTCAGCCGTCTTTAACACAGACACAAAGTTTTGTATCCTTTACCATTATCTAATTCTAGACCATTTTCAACACTCCCAAAATAACCCCATCGTCAATAGCAGTCACAGCCTATCCCCCTCTCCCACTGACCCTTTGCAATCACAATCTACTGTTCATGTCTACAGATTTGCCAATTCTAGACATTTCATATAAATGGGGCCATAAAATAGGTGACCTTTTGTGTCTGGCTTCTTTCACTTGGTATAATGTTTCCAAGGTTCATGTTTTAGCACAGCTCGGCACTTCATTCCTTTTTATAGTCAATAATATCCCATTGTATGGACAACCTCTATTTTATTGACCCATTTAGCAGCTGTCAACAGTTAAACAGTTCTGAGTGCATTCATAATATTCATAAAATAAGAGTCTCTGAACATATGAACCTACCGTCTGACGTGTCTGTCTGTGGAGTGTATCCTTCAGAAAGGTTGAAGGTCCCATTATCCGTCCAGGAAACCTCTGATACGTCTGTGTCAGACACAGATAATTCTTTGGCAGCAGTTGTGAGGCTAATCTATGTCAAAATAAGTGAAATACCAGTGGTACATTTGTAATTTTTGACAAAAATCTTTTGAAAATCCATAGTAAGACCGAATACTATTTAAATAAAAGCATGGTGATATATATATATATTTTTCCTTTTGAAATTGTTCAATCACTTTATAGAAGGAGGAGGCATCTATTAGGAAAACCATTTGGCTTTGGGACATGCAAATAAATGTATAGTCAAATGACACAAGAGGAAAGAAAATGAAACGAAAAATACAATACCTTAGGACAAAGGGCTGAGAAGTCTAATTCACTGTCATCCTTGGGACTTTTTCCTTTATCTGCTTCTGCTGAGAAAAAAATGTGTAAAGTTTTGGTTTCCTGGTCAGCTTAGACATATTGTATTTATTCTTACCCCACATTCCTCATATATTCTCTCTAATGTCTCCATATAACTAAATGTTTTTCCATAATAAACGCCACAGATTTGTAAAATGCTTGCTTTCCAAAGGAAATGGTCACTTATCGCAACAGTTCTCCAAGTGTGGCTGCTGGGCCAGTAGCATCAGCATCACTGGAAACTTGTTAAATAGGCAAATTTTCAGGCCCTACACCAGACCCACTGAATCAGAAACTGGGGGGCTGGCAGCAAGCTGTGCTTTAATGCATCCTCCCAACGACTCAGATGCAGGCTAAAGTTTGAGTCTGGAAGGTCACGAGCCAGATTAAGAAGTAAAAAGTGATGACACTTGTTTTTCCTATTTCCTTTCCTCTTCCAAATCCTTCCTTATCTGGTGTCCATACTCTTTCCTGCCTGTGTCCATTTTTCCTTTGCAATACTCCAACCCAAAATTGGGCAATTTAAACAAAGTCAATGAATCATACATAGCGAACTTAAGAGTGGTTCGACCCTCTTCTCCATCCCCTGACAATTTGGATAAGAAGTCAATTTATTTAAGTGTATGTTCAAGAAGAGAATAAAACTCTAAGACTGCATTATTTTGAAGGCCTATCTTCTATAACAATAAATATTACAAGGCTAATCGCCCTGAAATGTATTCAGGGTGACTTATTTCATAAAAAGAATTCATGAATGGAATCTAAAGTTCAAACATTACCTACCAGATCCCTCACGTTTCTTCTGATTAATATATTCCCCGATGCCAAAGTCTAATTTCAACAGAACTGACTTGATTTTGCTGTATAGTTTTTGTCCAATATCGTTACACTTAAACAGTGGACACAGAAATGCACACAGTACTGAAACACAAGAAGGAAGAGAGGGATTGGTTAGATGATCTATCTTTCCAAAGACTCCATCTTAGAATTCCACAAAAAAACCACTTCCGTTCCCTTATGGACAAAACAGAAGTTTATTTCTTAGGGAAATGCTTCTGTGAAATAAATTCATAACTTCTATTCTACCCCCTAAAACCAAAATACCCATTCTAACACACAGGCAGACAGACACACACTCACCTAATGCCTACAGTCACTGTTTTGAAAGACTAGCAACTGCAATTAGTTCAATCTCCTCCTCTCAATCTTTTTGCCCTCAAAATTTACAGAAAGATCACAAGCTTTCAAGACAATATTCCTGGATTTGAATCTCAATTCCACATATTTATTGAACCCTCTCTTACTATAGGAAAGTTACCATTATCAATGAAGAATGGAATTTTTAATTCCCATGGAATCCAGATTTTCTGGAGCTATCAAGATGGAAAAATGACCCCTATACTCTCTCCTTAGGATAATCTTTGAAGCTTAAACATGGACAAAAACTGGTTTCCTAAAAATCATCTTTTTTAAAAACAATTTAAAATATATTTATTGTGTTACATTTATATAGCAACTTACATCCCCATTTAACAATTTCTACACAATTTCATGACATTGGTTACATTTTTCATAATGTGTCAATGATATTTTTATTAATTTTTTCTGTTTCCATTAATCTACCTTCCCTGCCCCTCCTTAGCTTCTCATCTTTGTTTTAGGGTAAATGTTGATCATTTGGTCTCATATAGTTGATTATTTACAACAAGTATTTATGGGTAAGCTTGCCTATTTCATAATCCAATCTATGATTTGGATGAAAGGTGACCACCAAGAGTGGTTTTAGTTCCAAGTTCAAAGAGCACATGAGGGCGAAAGTCTCAAGGATTCCTCTAGTCTCTATTGGTCCAGTACGTTTGGCATTTTTAAGGAATTTATTTGTGTTTTGATCTACATTTTTCTCCCTTTCTCTCTGGGACCTTCTGTTGTGTCCCTGGTCAGAATGGTTGTGCGGTGTAGTAAATCACATAGTGTGGCTTTTCTAGCCATAAGTTTTTGTAAACTCCATGGTGGAATTTCCCATGAGCGAGTGAGTAGCTCCTGATTGTTAAAGTTATCCACCTGGGGTATTTCTGTTGGGAGGGGCAGGAAGCAATCTTCTAGGAATTTCACTCTCTCTCAGTCATATAGAATTCTGATTTTGGGATTGGTTAGTTTGGCCACTATACCAGGCTCAAAAAGAACTCTCCAAGAGGCAGAAGGAGTCTCTCTGACTGCTGAGAAAGACGTGCTGCTGAGAGAGAGATGTGAGAGACACACACTGCTGAGAGACATGAGAGACACGCACTACTGAGAGAACGATGTGCTACTGACACTGCCGGCTGCTGAGTGAGACGGCTTGCTGCAAGAGCCTGAGTGCATTTCTGAACTTGAATTGTAGCCTGTTGCTTCCCTAATAAACCCCATAATCTGTGAGTTCTGTGTGGCCAGTGCAGTGAATTATCAAACCCAGCAGACAGGTGGTGGGTGCTGCGGGAGGACAGTTGATATCAGGGTTGGTGAAAGGGCTGGAGGGAGGCACCATATCTGGCCTTGCAGTAACAGGCCTTGGGCTACTGATGGTGATTGTATCTTCCTCTTGAGGGATTAGAGGAGGTCAGAAGATGCAGCCTCCTTGCCCCTTTGGCAGTTGGTGTCAGAAGTGGTGGGATTCGTTGCAGTGGCCCCAGACTCATAGAAACACGGGACTTTGTAAAAGAAAGAAGGAAGGGGCCTGGGAAGTGAAACTTTGGATTCTTAGATGGTTAATTTGGTTGGTGTTACCTATTAAAGGAGATAATTGATCCAAAGGCTAGGGCTTTTGGTTATACCCAGCCAAGGCCATATACTTAGAATGGGAAGGTAATCAAGGTGAAAAGATGAAACTGCAATGTCTTAAAAAGGATTATGTTTTGGATTATGTGTCTACCTGAATGTCCTATGGGTACTGAATGTTCTCTTACCTAGTTGTACGTTAGAAATGATCATGGGGTATGGATAATGGAGAGCATCTAAGTCTGCCTTCAGCTGATACTTGATTGGATATGTTAAAAGGGGATAAAATTTGCCCAGAAGAAACACAGGCTTTTGTTACAAACACTGTGTAGATTATAAGGGCTTAGGCAGAAAACCTGAGCCCCACTCAGAACCTGAGTGAGGAAATTTGCATTTGAAAAGACCCAACCAGAACTACTGAGAGAAAAGAAGATCTACATTTGAAGGTGGGACCAACAGAAAAAAATTAAATGACTTGCTTAGCTTTTTTGAGTTTTGAGAAAGCAGTTAGGCTTTGGGTGCATCCAGGCAGAAAGTCATGGTCCATGAGAGAAACCTCTTCCAGGACTGAAAGTGAAAGGAAGCCAGCAAGGAATAGGCTTGTTTGCTACCTGCTTGTAACTACTTGGGTCTACCTGAGTGGAAATGGGGGAAGAGCAGCAATGAAGAAACAGGCTGAGTTTGGATGTCTTTGACCTAGGCAACAGAGGCTGGGGATGAGTGGAAGGGCTGGCTGGTCTGAAGTGCAAGGAGTTCTGAGCCTATGGGCAATGGAACAGTCCCTGAGGACTGAGGATGTGAGAGAAGGTGCTCGCTGGTCTGAAATGAAGGGAAGAGTGTGACTCCCAAA